TATATATATACACACACACACATATATATATATATATATTTTTTTTTAAACAGTTATTCTGTCTACTTTTCACAGAGCATCTCCATCAAATAATACGGTACCCAAGAATTGCTCCCATATTAATCAAGGTACAATGACTGCTGTAATGAATTAACAACTTCAGTTCTCAATGCTTAACTTAACAAAAGGTCTAGATTTTGCTCACATAATAGTCCACTTGTGTATCCAAAGAGAGGCTTCCCACATGCTCATTCAGATGTCCTTGTGGCTTCCATTATGTGATTCCATGATCTCAGGGACACCCAGAATCCTCATGTGGATCCTCTGCACATAACTGGTGAGTGACGAGGGACATGATAATGTGGAATATCACATGCAGTGTCCTATAACTGTGCCTGGAAGTACTGTACATTATTTTTCCACTGACCCAAATTTGCTTACCTTGTCCCATTTAGATGCAAGGTGGGCTGTGAAATCAGGAGGAAAAGAAAACAATTTGACAAACACATAAAGCACTGTCTTTACTACATTATCAAAACACACCTGGAAATGTTTGTCTCTGTGTCCGCTTACATTATTTTCTCAGCACAGAATGCCTTTAGACTTAATTTCCAATAACCAAATTTACCCATTTTCTAGGAACAACTAAAAGTCCACTTTCTTCACAAAGCTTTATTAGCATATTTACTCCACCAGCTACAGGGAAATCAAAACCCCAGTCTGTCCTGGTTGAGAAAAGCAGGTGCTCAAAAAACAGTATCAATAATTATTCCAGGAAACAGATACTTTTGAATTCAAATGAATGGCACAGATAATACATTTAGGTGTCAACTCTTATATCTCCATCAGATTCTTGGTTTTAAATAAAATAATTTAGATATTTATTCACTGACTATTTAAATTTTTGGTCTTCCCCCAAGAGATCATGAAGTCAGAAACTCTGTGAAGCTAGAGATCAAGCCTAGTGTGCTTCAGAAAAGTATTCCTACTGCCTGTCACAGAGGAGGCACTTAGCATATGTTTATTGAGGACATTTCCTCAACAATGATTTAATTAACTAATGGAAGAGATGTTCAAAAAAGGTAATCAAGAAAATAAATGAAAGAACAGAACTTCAACATAAAGAACATCATGCTTAGGTAGAAGAGAACAAGTATTTATCTGTTTAGATTCTCACATCTATTAGGCCAGTGGATTTAAGCAAAAATATCTGCCATGAAGATAAAATCATGTTTCAACAAATGAATGAATAAAGGAATTCTCACTAAAGAGAACATTTGTGTGTAGCTAATATACTACATTTAAGTACAATGAATGGGATGAGGGGACTCATCAACTAGCTAAGAGTGAGCTAAGCTCAATGAGAGAGCCCAAAAAGAGCGTCCCAGGACAGGAGAGGCACTCCAGAGAAAGGCCCCCTGCAGGGCTGGGAGAGGCAGTAGGAGAAACTCCCTGGAGGAAACAATCGCTGATCTGATGCCATGGTCGGGTGGGTGGGTTCTAGATTCGTCCACTGGGGTCTGAAGTCTGACTCACCGTTTACTAGTTGTGTGATCTTAGGCAAATTAATTAAGTTCTCTGCAGTAAATTTCCTTTCAGTAAAATCAGGATAATAATAATTTTTAACTGAAAGATTGTGAAGTTTAAATATATCTATATAGAACAGTGGTTTTCATCCAGGAAGGGTTCATTAAGTGTTACTTATTGTTATTGTTATCATTACTGGTTATTGGAGAGAATGTGGGGAAAAAATAGTAGAAAATGCCATTTTTATCTTAAAGGAACAGCATATGAGAAAGCAGCAAAATGTGAGAGTGTTCTAAAGGAAGTACAGATTCAAATGTTTGGCGTGCATGATGAGGTTGGAAGAAAAGCAAACTGGGCAATGCTGCATCCAAAAGGGTCCCAGGAGCCTAAGGACTTCTAACATCAGCCTGCAGGAGTCTCTGTTTTAGCAAAGGTAAGATGTGATTAGACTGCCATTTTAGAAAGGTCATTTGATGTAAATGCGGAGGACGGATTAGGGGGTGAAAGTAAAGGCATGGAGAAAAAAATAGAAGATTGTTGTAGACATATAATTGCCTAGTAATGAGTTATTAATGCTAGCAAAGGAGGTTAATTTAAGATTTGTTATGGAAATAAAATCAATAGAGATCCATTGTTTGCGGAAATGAAAGGCACCAGTCTTGGGTCATAAGTTCATAGGGTGAAGGTCATCATTGACTGATGGTTAAGAAATTAATAAAATTCAGGACCATAGTTTTGTGTGTGTGTGTGTGTGTGTGTGTGCGTGTGTGTGTCTGTGTGTTTTGCTTATTTTATTTGTTTGGGTGAAAGGCAATGAGATCAGTTTGGTTATCTTAAGTTTTAGTATCTTATGTAACATCCATTTAGAGATGCCAAATACGAGGTGGATCTATAAATCCATAAAGAATTGAGAAAGAGAGAGAGGCATACAGAAAGAGAGAGAGACAGAGAGAGAGAGAGAGAGAGAGAGAGAGAGAGAGAGAGAGAGAGAGAAGAAAGAAAAAGAAAGAACAGAGAGCAATCTAAGTTGGAAATAAAGATTGGGGAGATGTCAGTGGGTAGATAGCAGTTGAAGGGGGTTACTCCCAGGAGGAACATGGGCCAAAGATTAAACTTAAGGGGCATGAATTTTCAGAGTTCATCAAAATGTGGCCCTCGGCTCACTAGCATCACCATCAATTGGAGTGTTTGTTTAAAAAGCATGGTCCTGGGCAATCCTCCAAAAGTATGGGTGTATTTTTTCTTTCTAAATATACATCTGATTGTATATATAATGCGTGGGTCCAGATCTATCCATTAAGAGTTTAAAGGAGATTCTGGGAATCTGCACATTTTACAAGCACCCCAGCGTACCAGTGACTGAAGCCCCTTAGGAAGGGGTCTCAAATCCACAGAGGAGATCAGGAAAGGGATGAGAGGAAAACCGGGAGCGAGCAAGTGGGGCAGAGATTACAGAGCGAGACCTTTCCCCTGACTCGGGGGTGGTGAGAAGGATGATGTGCTACAGGATGGCAACCAAGGCTAGAAATAAAATCCTTTCCTTGGATTTAGTCAGAGGGAGATTCACGGTGATGCTGGCCATGTAGATTCAGCTAAGTAGAGGGGTTAAGGGTGGGGGAGCAGAGCAAGCATTTAATGTTCTGACCATTTCAAGAAGCATGACTGAAGGAAAAAGGAGAGGGAAGGTAAAAGCAAGTGCAACTAGAGGGAATGGAAGGGCTGACACCTGTGGTGGTGGTGTTGTTTTCCAGTGACGGAAGGTGAAGCATGAAGGGTTTAAACAATGTCCTCAAGAAGTTTTCAGCCTTAGAGTGACAAGCACACAGGTGGAGGACTAGATTGCACAGAAAGCTCAGCTCTTTCATAAAGAAGGAAGGCTGAACAGATGTGTGTATGCACCATAGTGAAGAGAGGTGAAGGGTCAAGAAAAGGAGCAATATCCTCTAGTCTTCTTCTGAAACCCTTACAGAAAGAGTTTAGAGTCACACTCACTCAAGGAGCAAGAAAGTGGAGATGGGCAGCAATTACGGCTAATTATTGCTGTTTAAAGAGCATTCCTTGTTGCTCCAAATTGGAGCTAGGAGACCTGAGCAGTATCCATGCAGGAAAAGAAAGAGTGTGTTTTTCCCATTCCTACAGACGGATGCATTTTACTGAGAAGTCACCATTTTTGTCAGTGACTCTGTTTATGGCCCAGAGTGAAAGGGGAAACAATAGAGGGCTGGCTTCAAAGGGCATGCCCCACAGAAACGCCACATATCCAGCTAACTTTGCATTTATCTCTGGGCCCTGAAGTGGTTAATAGAGCTGCCAAAAGTGTCTTGATTCTTACTCAGGAATGGCTTTTAGCTTTTACTTCAGGAGACTCTGACGCACGGCTAAGTTCATGGAACATGTTGATTTTTATACCACTTCAAATGGAGCCTAAGTCAGCTGTCACATATTTACAGGCAATTTTCACCATTACACAGAACTCTCTGTGATTATTATACTTGGGCAGTGCTTGAATTTATTTGCACATAAGCATGTCAAGGTAGGGGGGAATGCTCCCCAGGCTATGCCAGGAATATGTCAAGGCACTCCAGCATTACTCAAGATTGGATGGGATGAAATGTTGGGCTCTCCACAGAGCTTGTCATCACACTTGCTCAGGTACCTCAGCTTACCATTTCCCCCTCAGACTTCTCTTTACATATTCCATACCCAAAAGCAGAATTCTGCCTGTGCTATTTAATAACTTCCATGAAGTCTCAAGATTTGCCGAGGGTGCATTTTTCAAGGGACTCTGGAAAGTTCTGTTCAGGTGATAGGACTGTAAAATGAAATGAACCAAAAAGGACACCTCCCAATCCAAATGCAGAAGATCAGGGACAGCAGACAGATGACTAACAGCCACAGAAAGCAGAGGTCTTTAAAAGGGCTGTGTGAGTCCATCTTGAGGTCTTGGCCAATGAGTTCAGTGAAAACAAAAGATGAAAATATTTGCAACAGCTCATCTTTTATCCTATGAATTGTGAAACAGGCTGGCAAAAGGGAGAATATATTTACCAAACCATTGTAGCATGAATTTATGCCTTTCAAGAGCAAAATTAATATATTTATGTGTGATTTGAGTACAAGATGCAAGATAACATGATGTTGTGGGAAAAGTTCCCCAGCCTTACAGCCAGACAGATGAGTATAAAAATTTGGCTCCACCACCCACTGGCTACGTGACCTTAAACAAGTTTCTTAACCTTTTATTCTCAGCCTTTTTATTGAATGCAGATTAATACACTCAACTCACAGATGATTGTAAGGTTTATGAGAAAATAAACTATCATGAGGAAATAAAATATCATGAGTAAAAACGGCTGGCTTAATACAGTCAACTCCATAAGTGACATGAGAATGGTGGTCATATATAGTGGAGGCTAAGAGCACAGGCTTTGGGTTCACATGTCCTGTCCCCAAAGACAGCATGGCCAGCTTTATAACCTCTCAAATGAGACAAGCAACAGTATTCTTGTAAGGATTCTGTGAGATGATGCTTATACAGTATTTACTACTACAGTATCTCATATATGGTTAGTATCCAATAAGTGGCAGCTATTATTGCCAGGGGATACCACCTTTAGCATTTCCCTTTACACTCTAGTTATCATTGATTCTGTCTATCTCACTAGCCCCTGGCTCATTGAGGCCTTTCATATCATCCACCTTATTTTTTCTGAGCTATCACAGTACCTACCATGCTGGATTTAATGTGCCCTTAATAAAATCTTGCTGAATATTAAATGAATAAATATATAAAGTGCTTGTCACTTAGGAGATAGTAGTAGCATAAGTGCCTTTTCCTTTCTGACATCAGCTTCTCTTTCACTGATTTGAATGGCAGAAAATACCATCTCAACTTGTCATACTGGATATTTTTGGAGAAAGGAAAAATGAACCACTTCCATGAACAGTGAAAGGGTTTAGTGAAAGAGAATTTAAAACCAACAATCTGGTCGATTCCGAGGGTATAAATTAAGCTAGTTAAGCTGCCTTAACCCAAATTATTGGCAAGACAACTATCAGACTCTGACAGTTTCATTTCTTTATTCTTCTCTAAGGTTAGGACATAAAATTTTAACCTAAGACATCAGAGGTTTCAAAAAGAACTCCTGATAACAATAAAGTAATTCTAAACAGTCCATCCTAAATAGTTCATTGGAACCCAAGAACAGGGCATTGACTGTCAGCCACATCTAGGTACTATATTGGTAACAGATGGTGAACATTTTAATGGAATTGGGACAAGTTTAGATCAGAGAAGGAATCTCACCCTTCCCCCACAGGAGACTCTGATTAGTAGATAGAACATTAGACCATGTTACAATTCCAGGCTGACATCTTATTTGTTAGTTTTAGGTTGAACCTATGCCTTAGTCTGACTGCGTTTGCCTGTTGAAATGCGCACGTGCACACGCACACACTAAGAGTAACTCTAACTTTCTATTCTATGGAGATCAAAATGAGGATTTTCAAAGCCCTCTAGAAAAGGGCTCCAAAGATTTGTTGGATATCAAATAGCTCCTTCAAGACAACATTTTGAGGAGTTAAGTGTAAATGAATCAGAAACATATGGATCAAGTTTCCCTTGAAATACACAGGGGCTTAAAAAATCAAAGAGGAAACAGTGCCTGGCCCAGGGTCTTGCAGGTCGTGCCAAACCCAACACATCTGAGCAACAGTTCAAGATATTTGAGGGATCCAAAGATGAGGCTGGCCTGACCCACGCCCAGTTCCTACCGTATTGAAATAGAGAACATAAGCCATGCCATTTATATTGCATTATTACTAAAAATTCCTCCTTCCTTGTGGTTTGAAAATTAACTAAACCAAGACTTACAAAGGAAAACCCTGTAAATGGTATCTGTAGCACAGAAAGCTCTCCAAAGGCTGAAAGAGCAAGTTCAAAATGTTCTCAGAAAGTGTAGCTGTTATTGTCTGACAAGGCAATAAAAATTGGGCATCAGCATAGCGCTGAAGACTATTTAATGGTGGTATAACTTTACATTTGCTCTTCAAAAGTTTTCCACAATATTTTCAGGAATAAAGTTTAATTATTTCTGAAGCTAAGTCATACATTAATCAGCATTTCCAATCACTCCTTTTATTTGCTACAGATAATGGATTTTAAAAACTTCTAATTGGTTAATCAGTAAATTGCCAGTGTAGGCAACTTACATTTGAATCTCATCACAGGAGACACATGCCCCAAATAGATTTGATCTGTTCAACACATAAATGCTAAGTCTAATTTTAATTTAGGTAGCTCTTATAATTAGCCTACTTTTTTCACTTATGATAAATGATTAAATCTTGGTATAACCTACTTTGAGATTTATCAATCTGGTGTTAACCAACCACATAACTAAATCCAGAAGTAAGCAAGGTGATACAGATTTATGGCTCTACCTGGAAAATAAAAAAACAATTACTCATATTATCATATGTATGGTTTGTTTTAAACATGGTTTCTAGAAATTTTATCTAATATATGTTCAAAGAAAATTTAGAAAATATAGAGAAAGTAATGTTGGGCAAAAGAATCACCAGGAATCTTACAATCAAGAAATAATTTTCAACATTTTGTTGCCTTTGTCTATAGGTAGACAAAAATGTCAATATTGCAGTATCATTTTATACCCCCAAGTTTTTCTGTTAATATATTGAAACATACCCAAATCATTAAACAGTGCTACTACATCACTGATTATAACATGAAATTCTAATGTATAGATCTACTCTAATTTATTTATCTGGGTACTTAGATGATTTCCAATGTTTAGCTACCAAAAATCAAACTGAGATGAACACTTTTTTATGGCTAGTTCTAATTTCACTTTAAGATAAGTTCCTAGAAGTGGAACTGCTGGGTAAAAGTGTTTGCATGTTATAAAGTTTCTAAATACATATGCATTCACAAATTGTCTCCAAGCGATGGCCTGGCACAGATGTGATAACTATAACTATTTGGTAAATAATGAAATTACCCCCAGAAATGCAATACTGATTGAGATAAGATCTGAGTGACTCTCCAGTCTCCAGCCAAAATGAAGGTATTACTGGTCTTTTAAATCTTTGTTCATCATAAAGTAAAAAAAAAGCATATCTCCTTGGTCTAATTTGCCTCACCTTGACACTGGTGAATTTGAATATGAGTCCTGTTTATTAGTCACTTATGTATGTTTCTCACTAGTTTGTAGGTGTTCTTTATATTTTAAGATATTAACACTTTGTCACATAGATTGCAATGTTGTTTGTAGCATTTACAGATACTTAAAATTTTTATTTTTATCTGTCTGTTGGTCTTTCCATTTTATATCCTAAGTTTGGTATTCCTTTTTAATGGTCTTCCTAAACCCACAGTTATGTAAATATTTTATTATATATTTATCAGTTCTTTAATGACTTTTATGTCTAACCTTTAATTCACTTTGCTTTGGTGAATGGCATATTAAGGACATATTTTAACTCAGTTAATTAGTTCAGCTAAAACTTACTAATATGTTTGGCTTTTAGTCACACAAACTATACAACAATCACCCCTGAAGTGCACTATGTGTGGTTGACAGACTCTAAAGTGGCCCTCATAATCCTCACTCCTGGGGTACAAGCCTCTGTGTAATTCCTGTCCCCGTAAGTGTTGTGGGACCTGTGACTTGCTTCTAACCAGCAGAATATTGCAAAGGTGATGGGATATCACTCCTATGATTACCTTATATTATGTAAGACTCTCTCCTGCTAGCTTACTCATTCTTGAGGCTTCTCTGGCTAGACGAAGTAAGCAGCCATCCTCGGAAAGCCAGCTTGGCAGGAGACTGTGGGTAGCCTCTAGTGGGTAAGATGGCCTGCAGTGGACAGCCAGCAAGAAGCTAGATTCCTCAGTTCCACAGCTGCAAGGAATTGAATTTTGCCAGCAACTTGAGCGAGCTTGGCAGGAGATTCTTCCCTAGCGGAGCCTCCAGATGAGAACCCAATCCAACCAAAACCTTGAGGGTGATTTTGTGAGACACTGACGTAGGACCCCGCTAACCTGTGCCCGGACTCCTGATGCTTGGAAACTTAAAGATAATAAATGTGTCATGTTTTATGCTGCTGAGTTTGTGGTGATTAGTTAAGGGACAATTAAAAACTACTACTCCAGGCATTACTTAGAGAAAATCTGTTCTTTTTCCCTTGATTTTAAATGATATTTTTGGCATAAATATGCACAAATTAGGAGATAATGTATGTAGACCCCAGAAACATTCAAACGACCAAATTGTTCTAAATTGATTATTTAATCTTTGTTGATTTAAATATTCTTTCATTTTAATATTTGAAGGATAAGTTGTCATCCACTGAGCAGAACAATCGTTGTCGCCACAGAGGCCCATCAGCAAATGTGAACAAAGTGTCCTAAGGAGACCCCTTTCTGAGCTTGATTTATTTCCATCAGAAAAAAAAAAACTTTTAAAGTTTGCCTCACCCTCTTCTTTTGTCTGTTTTCAGAAATACTTCTGAGTAAATAAAGTTTACATATAAATTGTAGTGCTTTTATTGTTTCACTATTTTTAAATAGACTTTCGTTTAACAACAGTTTAAGGTTCACAGCAAAACTAAGCAGAAGATAGAGATTTCCCATATATCTGCTGTCCCCACACAGGCACAGCCTCCCCCACTATCAACATCCTCCACCAGAGGGTACATTGGTCACAGCTGATTAATCTACATTGATACAGCGTAACTACCCAAAGTCCATAGTTTACATTAAGGCTCACGTTTACATTTTACATTTGTACATTTTATGAATTTGAACAAATGTGTAATGACATGTACCCACTATTATAGTATCATACAGGGTAACTTTAATGCCCTAAAATTTGTATTTGCTCCATCTGTTCATCCTTCTCTTCTCACCAGCCCCTGGAAACCACTGATTATTTTTACTGTCTCCATAGTTTTGCCTTTTTTAGAATGTGATATATTTGGAATCACATGGTATGTAACCTTTTCAGATTGGCTTATTTCACATAGTAATATGCATTCAAGTTCCCTTTAGGTCTTTTTATTACTTGATACCTCATCAGATTTTGTTGGTATATAATATTCCTTTCTCTGGATGTGTCCTTTTTATTTATCCATTCACCTACTGAGAGACATCTTGGTTGCTCCCAAGTTTTGGCAATTATTAATAAAAAGTATTATAAGTATCCATTTGCTGGCTTTTGTATGGACATGATTTTTCAACTCATCTGGGTAAAAATGAAGGAGCATGATTGTTAGATTATATGGTAAGTTTATCTTCAGTTTTGTAAGAAACCACCAAACTGTCTTCCAACAGGCTGTAATATTTTGCATTCCTACCAGCATGAACAAGAGTTCCAGTCACTTCACACCTCATCAGCATTTTGGATTTTTGCCATTTGTACAGGTTTGTAGTTGTTTCTTATTGTTGTTTGAATTTGCAGTTCCTTAATGACATAAAATGTGGAACATCTTTTTATATGCTAATTTGACATCTAGGAATCTTCTCTGGTGAGGTGTCTAGTCAGGTCTTTGGCCAATTTTTCGATAATGTTGTTTTCTTACTGTTGAATATTAAGAGCTCTTTGTGTAGTTTGGATAACAATCCTTTATCAAATATGCCCTTTGAAATATTTTCTCACAGTGTGCACCTTGTCTTCTCATTCTCTGGAGTGTCTTTTGTAGAGCAAAAGGTTTTCATTTTAATGAAATCCAGCTTATCAATCCTTTTTTCTTGGATTGTATCTTTGGTGTTGTATATAAAAAGTCATCATCAAATCCAAGGCCATCTAGATTTTCTCCTGTGTTGTCTTCAATAAATTTTATAGCTTTGCATTTTACCTTGAGATCTATAGTCCAGTTTGAATTAATTTCTGTGAATGGTCTGAGTTCTGTATCTAGGGTCATTTTCTTGCATGTGGATGTCCAATTGTTCAAGCACCCATTTTTGAAAAGACCATCTTTGATCTAGTATAGCATCTTTTGTCAAAGATCAGTTGATTATACTTATGGGGATTAATAACTGTGCTCTCTATTCTGTTCCATTGACCTATTTACTTGTTCTTTCAGAAGTACAACACTTTTTTCTCCTGGTGCCATTCATTTGTTAGCATATATATGCCTAGCAGACCACATTGCTTAGAGGCTGTTGCTCAGACAGAGGTAATGGCACTAAACATTGTGAAACACTGTGTTTGGGTGTCAGATTTCTTTGAACAGTCATTTAATCTTCTCATGGCATTCACGTGGGAAATTATCCTTGCCTAGAGTCAAACTACTAGTAATTGGTAGAGTAGGTCTTAAAAGTAGGTCTTTAGACTTCAAATCTAATCCTCCTTATGCTACATTAATCTGTTTCTTTGTGTGGTAGGATTTAAGAAATGATGATGAAAAGCAACCCATTTGGAAACTGGTGAAACTGAGGCTGTACCAATCCCAATGAGTTTCACATCAGAGTCTTTACTATTTCTGCTGAACAACATTTTGATCCACATCCTCTTCATGACATTCTTCACTGCCATTTTTCTCAGGTGTAAGTCAGAGGGTTCAGTGTGGGTGTAAAACACAGCCACCTTCTTGTCCTCAGTAAAGTGGTGGAAGACTGTAGGTGGAAGAAGATGGAAGGGACGAAAAGATCACCACAGTGACATAGGAATCACATGTGGACAGGACCCTGTGCTTGCCCTCTAATGAATGCTTCTGGAGTGAAAGCAAGATGACATAAGAATGACAAAGCAATGACAAAGGATCTAAGCAACATCATACTAACTGTTGGCCACCACAATGAGTCTTCAGTTGCACTAAAGAGTGGACATCACAGAAGTAGTGTTCAGTCAGGTTCCTACTATGGGAAGACAGTTGTACAGTAATGATGGTCTGGATGAAAGAATGTACAACCAACAGGAGCAGACCTTCTAGTCCACATGGTCATATATTATAAAGGCTTACAGGTAGCTGTGTGCCTGTCCTAGGCCATCACTGTGAGGATAAAGATGTCTGTGCAGGCAAATACATGTACACAAAAGAGCTGGACCACACAAGCAACAAAAGATATGCTTTTGACCTTGGCTTGGAAGTTAGTAATCAGCTTGGGGACTATAGCAGTGGAACAGCAGATGTCAACAGAGGTTAGGAAGCTAAGAAGGAAGTACATTGGAGAAAGGTAATTTGGGTTCCTTTAAATACTCATAACTAAAAAATTTCTAGGATTTTGAGTGTTGCTCACCTGAAAGAGTAAGAACAAAGAGAAGCATATTGTTTTGGGCACTGGTTTAATTGCTATAGCTTTATAGTAAGTCTTGAAGTTGGGTAGTGTCAGTCCCACTACCTTATTCTTCTCCTTTAACAGGTGTTGACTATTCCGAATCCTTTACTTCTACATATAAATTTTAGAATAGTTTTGTCAATACCTACAAAACAAATTGCTGGGATTTTGAATGATATTATATTGGCTCTATAGATCAACTTGGGAAGAACTGGTTTTGACAATATTGAGTCTTCCTATCCAACATGAAGTATCTCTCCATTTACTTAGTTCTTTGATTTCTATTATCAGACTTTTCAGGGTTCCTCATGGATCTTGTACATATTTTCTTAGATGTATGCCTAAGTATTTCATATGGGGAGGTGCTAATGTAAATGATGTTGTTCTTTTAATTTCATATACCACTTGTTTACTGTTGGTACATAGGAGAGCAAAGACTTTATATATTAACCTTGGGTGCTGCAACCTTGCTATAATCAGTTATAACACCAGGAGTTCTTTTGACAATCTTTTGAATCCAATTTTCATAGCCAATCATATCATTTGGGAACATAAACAGTTTTATTTCTTTTTTTCCCAATCTGCATTAGCTAGGACTTCCAGTACAATATTGTAAAGCAGTGGGAGAAGGGACAGCCTTACCTTATTCCTGATCATAGTGGTAAATCTTCAAGTTTCTCACTTTTAAGTATGATGTTGGCTATAGGTAGATGTTCTTTGTCAAGTTGAAGAAGGTCCCTCCTAGTCCAGTTTGCTGAAAGTTATAAATGAGTGTTTGATTTTGTCAAATGCTTTTTTTTGTATCTATTAATACAGTCATGTGATTTTCCCTCTTTAGTTTATTGATGAAATGGATTACATTAATTGATTTTTGAATGTTGAATCAGTCTTATATACCAGGGATAAATCTTACTTCATAATGATACATAATTATTTTTATACATTGTTGGATTTTATTTGGTAATATTTTCTTGAAAATTTTAGTATTTGTGTTCATTAGAGATATTTGTAGTTTTAATTTTTGCGTTATCTTTGTCTGCTTTTGGTATTGGGTAATGAGAACAGAATTAACTTCATGGAATGAGTTAAGAAGTATTTCCTATGCTTCTGTCTTTTGGAAGAGATTCAGAAAATTGGTATAATTTCTTTCTTAAATGTTTGATAGAATTAATCAATGAACCTGTCTGATCCTAGTGCTTTCTGTTTTGAAAATTGATTATTTCTTGAATAAATATAGGACTATTCATATTGTCTATTTCTTCTTATGTGAGTTTTGGCAGCTTGTGTCTTTCAAGGAATTTGTCCATTTTGTCTAGCTTATCAAATTTGTGAGCATACAGCTGTTCATGATATTCCTATATATTCCATTAAATATCCTTTATATACACTAAAAAATGATCTGTAGGGATGTCCCTCTTTCATTTCCAATTTTTTTCTTAATCTGGCTAGAGGCTTATTGATTTTACTGATCTTTTCATAGAACCAAGATTGGGTTTCATTGATAATCTTTGTTAATTTCCTATTTTCAACCTCACTGACTTCTGCTTCAATTTTTCTTTCTTTTTTTCTTCTTACTTTAGATTAAATTTGTTCTTTTTCTAGTTTCTTCAGGTGGAAATTTAGAGTATTGATTTTAGATTCTTCTTTTCTAATAAATGCATCGAGTGCCATAAATTTTCCTGTAATCACTACTTTTGATACATCCCCCAAATTTTCATTTTCATTTAAATCAAAATATCTTAGAATCTTAAAATTTTTATTGAAACTTCTTTAACCACTGTTATTTGTAAGGTTTCTTTTTAATCTCCAAATATTTGGAGATTTCCCAGTTATCTTTCTGTTACTGATTTCTAGTTTTAATTCTTTTGTGGTTTGGTAGAAATCATTTTATGATTTCTATTCTTTGAAAGCTGAATTCATTAAGATGTGTTTGATAGTGCAGAATGTGGTCTATCTTAATGAATGACAAGCGTGCACTTGAAAAGAATCTGTTTTCTGCTGTTTGGGGATGAAACACCCAGTAGATATCAATTATGTCCAGTTGATAAATGGTACTGTTAAGTTCAATTATGTTCTTATTTATTTTTCTGCCTGCTCCTTTTGTCTATTCCTGATAGAAGGGTGTTGAAGACTCCAGCTATAATTTTGG